CCCAAGTAAAAAAATGTTCATTATCGAACTTAATTAAAACCAAAGTTACCTTGTCCCAAAGCATCAACCAATCAAATTGCTTATCTCTGCTTAGCCTATGCAGAAAATGCTAACCACAAATTCAGTGAAGGCATTCACCTAGCCAACACAAACACCAAGTTTGAATTAGGTAGACCTCAGTCAGGACATGCCCCTAATAAACACCTACAACTTTAGCTCAATTAGTTATGACATCCTAAAAAGTGTGACAGACAGATATCAGACAGTTCATCAGTTTTCACATATATTATTGCTATATGTTAATCTTATGACTAATAACAAAATCATTAGAAAATATTTCTATCATATAGAAATGTTGTTTGGGGGTTTAGTTTACTATTTTAAGAGAAGTTTTTAAACCAATTGAACTGCTCTTCAATAATTGGGAGAAAATGTTTTGGTAACAGGCCAACACAAAAATTAAAATGCAGCAAGTAGAATATGATGGGATTGAGATAACATCTTGACTAAAATTATGATTTATTGCCCAATTCCCATGTACGAGATTGTAAACAACTATTTCTTAAAGATGAAATTAGAAATTAAGGTAAAAAAACATGAGTAAAGTTACCACATACATTTTTGCAATCAAACGGAAGTGTGGAAGTATTTGAAATGTAACTTGATGATAGAGATGAAGCATATTAATGCACATCTGCACAAAGATTCTAGAAAGATAATTCTTTTAAGAATTTTCAATTACCTCAAGAAGATATCATATTTTAGATGTTATATATAATGATGTTAAAATAAAAACCACTCATAATTTTAAGTGAGTGACTCAGATCAAACCTGATCAAATTAATTTCCTTGAAAAAAAAATGGAAATAACTTGTGCTTAATACAATAAGTTAAAGTTTTGAGATGAGTTTTTAATGTACAGTACCAAACAATTTAGTTATCAGGCAGGCATACAGTTCATTTAATTTTAATTATGGGTAAAATTGGTTATGGTAGTTATTATTATCAACAACATGATGTAAGTAAATCAATATCATAACTTCAAGACAATTATTGAATAAAATTGATATTATAATTACAAGCATAATCTCCATTTTGATGGAAAATTGATTTGATCAGTGTGTTGTAACTTGACACAATTAAATAACTGATAAGGAATATTATTCTATTTCTTGATAGCTTTTATAACCGAAACTTGATATGGCCATGGTTAAATAATTGTTTGTTTCTCTGTGACATGTTTGTTAAAAATACATGCTACATATAGTAATTATTAATTATTGACATTGAATTTTAAAAATTTGTCGAATAGCCAGTGGAAATTTTTGACAAAACTTATTCTTTAGAGTAATAATATTAAAAATTGGCTACAAATTGTTAAAATGAGGCCGAAAATAAACATTAATATCAGAGGTGAAACCAGGATTCATTTAGTAAGGTATCAGAAAAAATACAAATCTGTACAAATTCATTTTTATAAAGACACTTCCAAACACTTTCTTGTTATCAAAGCTTAAAGTTCTGATCATTTACAACAGGTTGGTAAATCTTTTTCCATAAACATATCAGCATGTGCATAAATGTTGAATAAAACAATAGCTATCGCTTACTATTTATTTCATTTAATGCAAAGAATCTCCATTCACTGGAAATTTGAACTTTATTTTGTATATTTATTGAGGAGGAGCTGGTAAAGAAGAGACAATGAATGCCTTAAATTCCATGTAGCAACAATCTTGTGGTTGTGATTGGAAAAAGTGTGTATGTATATATACTTATAGATGTAGCATATCAAATAGCTATAAGATCGGCAGGTGCTGTGTTAACACATTACATACAAACAAGCAAAAACACAGAAAAATAATCAGTACATTTGTAGCAAAATAACCATTCATTTTATAAATCATTGACTTAAACACAGTGAGATAATGTTAGCAAAACCCAGCTCTGTTTATTTCCAAATCAAACAATGGCAGCAGAAGTAGACACCTTTTCTCTTCCAGATGTTGTACATACGCAAAGAAACCAAATCATGTCTTGTATATCAATACATGAGACAGGAATTCCGTACCTTTCTAACAAGCAACAGTGCCAGCTAATATAAATTTACCAAAGCTTATTGACAATACAACAATGGTTTGCACATGTATTTCCTTGAAACAACAAAAGATTCTATTAAAATCGTACAATTGACACATTTCTTTGAGATCTTTTAACACGAAAAAGCTGTCTCCAAAAAACAACATTTCCATGTATTTTATATAAATATGGTTCCTACGCTAATATTACCAGATATGACTCGTTTCTGACCACGTTTCTAAAATGGTTCTCTAAAATCTACATGTGTACAATTCAGCAGAAATGTACAGGAAATGTTTTCCATTTCTGTTTTTTAGAAAAACATAGAAAGTGAAGAATTAACATCCTATATACAATCATACATTCAGTAATAGAAGAAAACTATATAAACATTAAAGATGCAGTATAAAGCTGCCTAATACAGACCTTTCATTTGGCTTTAAATGTTACATAAATCATTAATTAGACATTTATTCATATGCCAAACCCATAATCAACTCTCTTGATCATTGGATGGGTTTGATTTTCAACGGATTTAAACACTATTGGCAATTAATAATTTAATTATAAAATTGACAAGCGAGACTTTGTTTATTATTGTAACAACTGTAGCAATGACAATCGAGACTACTCTGTTCTTGAAACTCCGATCACAATGAAGTAATTTGACTGTAATTTTCACCATATTCCCTTTTCATTATCTATTTTTTTTAAACTTTTATAGGGAGAACTGTCAGCTCTTTATCTAATTCTTTCATAATGCATCTTTAACCTATGACAATTACTCCAATATCATTTACCACAGTAGACAACTGTAGTCTACCCAGTATGTCCTTTATGTCTTGAGCTCATAATATGGTAAATTAAGCCTTTTTAAATCCCCCTGCCCCCACATGTCCAAAATAGATACAAATTTTGAACAGATAGGTTGCAAAGAAATGAAACATGCGTCCATAAGTGTTGTTGGGAAATTTAGCCTTCTTAAACTGTTGTTGCATATCTATTCTTTTATTAGTAACGAGAGCATTGATCAAGGAACCAAAAATTGATCAAGAGTTCTGCCTCATTCAGGCGTTCATCATTTATTATATAAAGCATGCACCGTTCAGCTGAAATGTCCAGTGTCATTCCTAAAGCATTAAACAATTTTCTTCACAGAGGCCTAAATCTCAATAAATAGTGAAAAAGCAAACATGGCAACCAAATTTCCTAAGAGCTTTAATATTTAAACCACTCTAGCACTCCTCTCAAGGATGATAGATTTATTTTTCCTAATAATTAGAAATATTAAGTTGCACAATGCATACTAGTACCCTACTATACTAGTAAACTATTAAGTTTTATCGCTCCAAATAGTTTTCTATCCATTCAATTACATTGCCAATGCACAAAATTCACAACAAAAGAAAAAAACAACAATGAGTTAATCTCAAGACAGTAATTTCATAGTTTTCAGATATCTATCTGTACCCATTATAGGTATCTCATTTCTATCTCAAGGATTTACACCTGAAATAAAAGACTTTGAATATATTGTCAAAATTTGTCTACCAAACATGGAGTAGGGCCCAGTAACCTAACCTACATGTATAGGACTACTGTATGTTCCCATTTATGAATTAGACATGGATATAAATTACTGAACCTAACATGATTTTACTTGGTATTAATATATTGAAATATTAGACCTGTATTTATTTGTCCTTCAAGGTATCATGTTGATGAATTATACATTACTGAGTGATAATATAAGGGAGATAACTCCAAAATAAAAAGGAATCAGACCACACATGATTCGAATGTAATTAATGTGTTAGTTGCTTTTCTTATTTTGTTCTCATTTTGCATGGAAAATGTTTTTTACTTTAATACAGCTGTCACTGGACAAATAGCTGTTGTTAGTCGAGCAACATGTCAGTATAAAATCTACTCCCACAGTTCATGTCTTCATATGACATATTTCAATGTTTAGAGCTCTGTCTACCCAACACAACTATCCTTAAATACGAGTACAAGACTCAATAAACTCTGTGGAAACAGATGTTAAAGCACCAGGTACTTGACACCTTTCTTTATGAAGGGATATAAGGACAATACCAAATCCCTGAATAAATACAGTTTAACATTTCTACAAAATACAAATAAAGTGAACTTCAAAATAATACCTCATCAGCTATAGTCAATAGGTTACATGTATGTATCAAATTCACAAAAAAGAGTAACAAGCCTATATTAAACCATGAAAACATCGCACATATCCATTATACATATTTTTAGGACTTTACTATCAAATGTTGCATTGCTTCCTTCTGCCTTCAAATATTCATTAATAAAAACACTTGAAAATATGCAGTTATTCCCATGAATTGCCGATGAGACTTTGCTACTGATATTCTACATTTAACAAATTAGGTCTAGATAAAATAATGAAAGAAGTACTGTCCAAATAGATACATACAATAACATGAATGTAAATATAAAAGTAGAACCAGAAAACTAAACGTTGAAAGGCTTGTCGGAAAACAACGGTCTTTTAACAAGTCTTGAGCTAAATTGCAAATATGGAAAGAAAGCTGGTTCCAGAGATTTGGCGCTTGTTAAATTGGCTGACGGGTAAATTCTTCAGACGGTCATTTTCCCTCCCAATCAGTCATCTGAAAGCTATGATCGATTTGTAAAATTGAATTTTTCATTCATCCTTTTATCTTTGCACTATGGCATTATACATACCAAGTTATCTCTTGACTTAGCGACTGGATAACCTAGTGCATTGTTAATAGTGATCTACTGATATAGACCATGCTTACAAAATAAAGCAGAGAAAGCATTTTAGAAATTGATGAATAATCATCCGAAAATGAACTTTGTCAGAATTTCATGCCCATGCTCCAAATTTTATAGATTTTTAAAACAATACTTACCATCTAGGTAATGAGTATTAGTCCCAACTCAAAACTGATAACCATACAGTTCTATCATGAAATGACATCGGATATGATTGGTTACTTGGTTATAACACCATCTGCTTCTTCAAGTCGTTCTTCTCATATCAGATGATCTGAAATAAAATAAAAATACCAAATTAAAAACATGAGATTAGTAAAGATATCAAAAAGGTTATCTGTTATTATGTAAAAATTAAAATACCTACATAATGTAGCCTCTAAGACTGACCACAAGATTTTGCGAATTGATCAATGGTCATAATTGTTACAGTATAAATCATCAAAAATCAATGAAGAGCATTTACAAGACACTAAATACTGATCAAGAGTAAAAACTCATTCAGTAATTATCAGAAATATTAAAAAATCTTATTGACCTCTAGTTGTTCCTAGTTCTAAAATCTATGATACAAAACATGTATTAGTAATTGTATGGTAACTTTCAAGTTATAATTAAAATTTGACAATTTTCAAGTTCTTCTTATTGCTTTAACAATTTACTCAAATTTTAATTATTTTTGATAATTACTGAATGGAATTTTAGTGTCTTATAAATGCTCCCATTGCCTACAAAAAATAAATATGTGAAAACTTTTGGGGACTGCTTGAATGACATAAGGGCATATGTGTCATGGAGGAGAAGTTTACATTCTTAATATTTTTTTGCTCATTCAGCTTCTTGGTAGAAGAGTTCAGATAATTGTTATTTTCAGTCACACAAGGATTTTTTTACCCCTTTATACAGACGGGAGGAAAAGAAGTTGGTCAGGTTCAATCATCTATCGCCAAGCCTTTCATTATCTGTTAACAGATGAATCTTGATTTTTACCTATCAAAATCTACAAATGAATTAAAAGTCTATTCATCTCTCACTAATTTTCTTAGCCAATTTTCTAAAATATTGTGTACAAAAATAGATGAATCACACCCTATACTAACACTACCATCCTTAACTTCATTTGTATTACATCTAAACAAATATGTTCTGACAAATGTAACTGTAATTATTTTTATTTAAGTCACAATAAGATTCCGTCTATAAAAGAAATAATTATTTTCTACAAGATGTCTGAATACCTTATTACTGCAACATGCACTGTCTTTGATATAAAACCCTCGGGTCACAGATAAATATTGTCTGCCCAAAATATTTCTACTGTTTAAATTATACTTCTGTACAGATTCGTCTACAAAGATTAATTTAACAAAAGGCCTTCATGTTTTTATGTGATTATAAAGAGAAGTCTTTCTCAATACTATGTGATATAGACGATGATACAATACATTATGTAAACAAACGCAGGCACAAAATCATAAAACGTAATTCATTACGACCTTAAACGAACCAAACCTATACTTACTAAATGTAAACATTTAAACTTACAAAGATGCAAATCAAACATGTCACTATCAATAGGTGTTGACATGAGTGTCGAACTTAGCCAACCGACAGGGTATTGACAATAGGGTCCTAATCTGTATAATACCGCTCTCAAATATACCTAGTCAACTCATATTATACTTTCTATATACCACAAGATGACACCTATTTGTTTAACAACATCTAAAGAAAATGTTCAAGTCCTCATAATTGCAAGATCAAACAAACCATTTTTCTACCTGTAGTGTATGGCTGTGGGTAAGTTCACTTGGAATATTCCATGAACAAATTATTGTATACAAAGAGAAGTCTTAATACTAACAAGCCAACAGTGAGGCTGATGTCCCCCGCCGAAATCCCAAAATTAATAGTTGACACATATTAATTAATGCTTATCTCTGCTTACCATAAGCAGACAATGTTTATCATCAAACTCCATCAAGGCATTAACCTAATGAACGGCTACACCAAATTTGAACATTCTACCTCAATTAGAAGAAGAATTATTGTGTTCCAAAGTCTCTACCAATCAAATTGCTTATCGCTCTGCTTACCCTGAGCAGAAAATGCTCATTATTGAACTTCAAGGTATTGATGTGATAAAACTATACACCAAGTTTCCTCACTCTCACTTAATTAGAACTAAAGTTATCGTGTCCCAAAGTATCAACCAATCAAATTGCTTATCGCTGCTTACCCTAAGCAGAATATTTTCATCTTCGAACTCCATCAAGGCATTCAACTAATAAACACCTACACCAAGTTTGAACATTCTAGCTCAATTAGAAGGGGAGTTATTGTGTCCCAAAAAGTGTGACGGACGGACGGACAGACAGACCCGTTTTAATAGTCCTCTGCTTTCTTCGAAAGGCGGGGGACAATTAAAACCTTCAAATATGATTTAAAGAAACAGATATGGCAAATGACACAAGCAAATTTTATTCTTAACCGACATGTGAAGATGATAGGGGTTGAGGGCATCTGTATATCCACTTCGTAAATCTAACCTCACAAAAAACCTAACTTTTCAAACAAAGATTCACACTACTGAATTCTAAAACAATTTATTACATTTCTTCTCTTTTGGTTAGAAAGGTATGTGTATGAGAATATTACAAAAGAAGCAATGTCAATGAATGAAGCAATGTCAATGAATGACAAAGGACACAGCACTTACTATCATACATGACCACCTTTGGAACAAAAAGAAATTCAGATATGTCTCAACTTTGCCGTTCTGGGTTATCTAATGGTACATGTCTGTCACGGTTAGATTTAGATTGCTACTGAGGAACCAGAATGTTGTACAGTGCTAAAAAATCAACTGTAACATCTCACTTCTTCAGTGGAATGATGTTTGGCTACAAGACAGTTCATCAAGTGCCACATCAGTCCATCTGTGAAATGCCAAACATTTTTTAAGTTACCTGTAAAACCATGCTCTAAATCTGGATTTCATTAGGACAAATCATTATTCAACACTGGCAACAACAACTTTCCATCATTGTTGAATCATTCCAGCCATTCATTTGATTTCTTTTGTCTTATCCAAACAACTGGACAGCTGTTATTATCAGGCCCTTCTATCAAAGATGATATGCAAAAATATTGTCACAGACCTAATTCCTGCTTGCGTCAAACAATTCCTGACAGTTTAGTCTGAGATCCTGCACAAACTTGAGAAGCAGACATGCATAGAAACAGAGCAATCTCTGGAATTCCATTCTTAGTTGTTATACGCCCACATTGAAATGTGGTCGTATATTGTCGTCGCCTCCGTCCGTCCGTCCGGCGGTTCGTCGGTCCGGCGTCCACAATTCCTTGTGGACGCTCTAGAGGCTAAAGTTAATATTCGATTGACTTCAAATTTATACATAGTGTTTAAGGTCATGAGACGAAGAAGCCTATTGATTTTCAGCGATTTCCGATAATTACTGCCAGAGTTATGGCCCTTGATCGCTTCAAAAAATCTTGTGGACGCTCTAGAGGTCAGAGTTAATATCCGATTGACTTTAAATTTATACACAATGTTTAAGGTCATGAGACGAAGAAGCCTATTGATTTTCAGCAATTTCCGATAATTACTTACAGAGTTATGGCCCTTGATCAATTCAAAAATCTTATGGATGCTCTAGAGGTCAAAGTTAATATCCGATTGACTTTAAATGTATACACAGTGTTTAAGGTCATGAGACGAAGAAGCCTATTGATTTTCAGCAATTTCCGATAATTACTGCCAGAGTTATGGCCCTTGATCACTTTGAAAAATCTTGTGGACGCTCTAGAGGGTAAAGTTAATATCCGATTGAGTTTAAATTTATACACAGTGTTTAAGGTCATGGGACGAAGAAGTTTATTCATTTTCAGCGATTTTCGATAATTACTGCCAGAGTTATGGCCCTTGATCACTTTGAAAAATCTTGTAAATGCTCTAGAGGCTAAAGTTAATATCCGATTGACTTTAGATTTATACACATTGTTTAAGGTCATTAGACGAAGAAGCCTATTGATATTCAGCGATTCCTGATAATTACTGCCAGAGTTATGGCCCTTGATCACTTTGAAAAATCTTGTGGACGCTCTAGAGGCTAAAGTTAATATCCGATTGAGTTTAAATTTATACACAGTGTTTAAGGTCATGAGACGAAGAAGTTTATTCATTTTCAGCGATTTTCGATAATTACTGCCAGAGTTATGGCCCTTGATCACTTTGAAAAAATCTTGTAAAGGCTCTAGAAGCTAAAGTTAATATCCGATTGACTTTAAATTTAAACACAATGTGTAAGGTCATTAGACGCAGAAGCCTATTGATTTTCAGCGATTTCCAATCATTACTGCCAGAGTTATGGCCCTTGATCACTTTGAAAAATCTTGTGGACGCTCTAGAGGCTAAAGTTAATATCCGATTGAGTTTAAATTTATACACAGTGTTAAAGGTCATGAGACGAAGATTTTCGATAATTACTGCCAGAGTTATGGCCCTTGATCACTTCAAAAAATCTTGTAAATGCTCTAGAGGCTAAAGTTAATATCCGATTGACTTTAAATTGATACAGAGTGTTTGAGGTCATGAGACGAAGAATCATATTGATTTTCAACGATATCCGATAATTACTGCCAAAGTTATGGCCCTTGATCACTTTTAAAAACATTGTGACCCTCTAGAAGCTAAAGTTATCATCCGATTGACTTCAGATTCATACACAGAGTTTAAGGTCTTGAGACAAACAAGTATATTGATTTGCAATGAATTTTTATGACTTGAACAGCTAAATCCATGATGTTAAAAGTTTCCTATACTAAACGTTAGCATGGGGCAAAACTTTATAAAAACCAAACCAATTCTAATGGTTTTCTGATAATTACTTAATGAGTTGTTACTCTTAATCAGATTTTAATGTATTATAAATGTTTCATTACCGAAAAAGTAAAAATATGTGACAATTCTTGTTGACTGCCCGGACGATTTAGCTGCTGTGGGCGTATGTTTCGTTGCCTGGCAACTTATCTTTATCTTATTATGTCAACTTTGTTTTATTCTGGCTGAATGACTTGGTATCTTAATGGATTAAAAAATTATCCATTTTAAAGCTTTAATGAACAGAAAAGGTAGAAGTGTTGCTTTGGAAAAGTGGTTTCTTCAATGGAAATATTCATATCAGTAATTTATTTCTTTGAGATTTGTCTTTTCAGTTTATCTTTTCTTAAGATCCTTCATATAACAGAATGTAT